TGCTTTTCTCCACAACGTATAATACTGTTAAATAAAAATTATAGGAAACCATTGTTTTGGACTAAGTTCCTGCACTAGGCCCCAGAACACTAGATTAAAAATCAAAATGAAGTCACCCCATCTACGTTCCAAGTCACTTAGGTTGTGGTCTGACAGTCAGGAATAAGAGGTAACAGCCAATTTCCTAAACAGGTCAGTTTACATCTTCAGCAGGTATGATAATGAAGTTCCCTCTGCTTTGCTCTTTATACGAAAGGGAAAGCCTGAAGTAACCTGATATTAACTAACTAGTCAGTTATTTTTCTATTGTTCTCTCTTCCTATAACCACCTTACAGGGAAAGTAACTTTATAATGACCAATCCACTTTTTGCTCTTTGTTTCTGCTTTCTTAAGCCCTTTTTCTGTCTATAAAATAAACCTTTTACTCAGCTCACTGAAACACTTATTCTATTTTATGGAATGATGTGTTGCCCAATTCTAAAGTCACAATGAAGTCAACTGACATCTTTAAACTAAATTTGTTGTAATTTTGTTCTTTTGACAATATAAATGCTGAATTATCAAGGAATAATTACATCACTCATGACTAAAACATTCTAAGTTTTTCCTAAAATTATCAGAAAAATCCCAACTTTTCTACCATTTTTAAAAATACCAAATTCCAAAGACCATAGCAGACACACATTTTAAGTGCTACATATTTAAGAATATAATGACCAATCCAGATTCAAGGTGATCCCAAAACACTGAAACATTTTATTTAAGCTGACAAATGAAATTTAAAAGAAAACCTGATATAAAGTACTGCTTTTAGACTAAAAATTAAGAACATATACACAATAGGGAAGATCATTTATTTGCTTGGTAACGATAACAATTTATATTTCAATGATAAAGGAAACTTTACAAAATCAAATCACCAACAACAATTGTTCTAATTAAGATAATGTAGAATTTCTCCTGTAAGGCTTAGGAGATGTCATAATGATTCATCAATTGTTTTGCCCAAGTAGTTTTGATTATTGGTATGCTTACAAAACTCACTATAAAAACAAAAAATAAAAAAACTCAGTATAAAAGGAAATTGTTATATTCAAACTTACATTTCACAAATTCTTCCAAGAGTAAAAATTTCAAATACTAAAACACACAATCCTAGGCAACAATGTGTTTAGAACAAAAAGGTTCAGCGCCGAGCCCGTGGCGCACTCAGGAGAGTGCGGCGCTGGGAGTGAAGCGACGCTCCCGCCGCGGGTTTGGATCCTATATAGGAATGGCCGGTGCGTTCACTGGCTGAGCGCGACTTTCTGCAAACTAGTCTATTATGTGTTTCTATGCATAACTTTAAACTTTGTGCACTGCTGAAATGTTATTATGTGCCCTATAAAACAATCTGCCTAAGGCTAAATGTGCACACAGCACATGTCACATATCCCAAGAAGAGACTACACATGCATTTTTAATAAGTGTTTACATTGGTTCTGTATATACAGAATTATGGGTAATTTATGGGAGATGTTAGTTTTCTTTTTCAGATTTTTATGTTTTCTGGGAAGCAATGAGCCTATAATACTGTTCAAAAAGAGTTAAGTTCGTTTTACAAAATAAACTGGATTATTACCATAGAAAAGCAAAGCAAACAAAAAATGCTGACAGGTCTATAAACCACAGCGAACTTCCTGTTTGTATAGTGGTGAGTACAAGGGGGAAATTAAAAAAAAAAAAAATACAGGAAGTAAACGACAGGAAAGAAAATGAAAAAGTTAGCATAGAAAAGATAAAAAGAAAAAAACATAAAACCTTGAGTATATAACAAATTAGCATCATAAAGAAATAGACCTGTATTTTTTGGTCAAATGTAAAGGAAACCTTGCCCATTAATATCAGGCACACTTGTGTAACATACTCTCTTACTGTGATGGTAAGCTCAGAGGGCTAGGTTTGGAGAAAGAAATCTTGTTACTAGAACAGGGTTTTTCAATACCCGCACTAGTGACATTTGGGGCTAGAAATTCTTTGTTGTGGGGGACTGTCCTCTGCATTGTAAGATACTTCACAGAATCGCTGGCCTGAGATAATACCCCCAACTCTGCTTACTACTTGTGACAACCAAAAATGCCTCCAGATTTCGCCTGGGGGTAAAAATCACCCCCATTGAGAACCACTGATTTATCAGGGAACCCAAACTAATGATTTTTACATGAAAACTACTAATTTTAGATGCTATACATTGGACATGTTGCATATTTTACAGGATGAAAATGCTACTATACACCAGGTATTGTCACATATGACTGATGACATTCACATTAAGACTAGCATGAAACAGCACTCCTCTGAGGAATAAAGTTTGAAGGTAAAATTAACTTCAATATAATGGTTACATTTACTAGTTATTCAATACACCACTCAGTAACTATAATTAGGTTATAGGGATTGCCTTGAACAAATGAAAAATGTTTCATCCTCAAGTAATTTGGGGGTGGACAAATTAATAAAAGAAATTTGAGGTTGGCAACTTTTCATTTCACATACAGATTTTTCTTTTTGTCTCTTAAATTTCTGTACATATAAAAATACTTATGTGCTCATTGTGGAAAAAGTGAAAAAGGCATAAAGAAAAGAAAAAATACTGAGTCTTCCCAGAAATAACCACATTTTGAATATTACACTCTGGCTGATTTCTTGCAATCTTTTTTCTTTTTAACACATGGGCCTGTAAGTATATACCCATATGACTATATAATCTTTGAAAATAGAACTCTTAATGGCTGTATTATATTTCATCTTTCACATAGTTTGTTTTTTTTTTTTACTTTTTATTGAAGTACAACATACATCAAAAAATGTATAAATCTAAGTGCACAGCTCAAAATTTTAAGGTAAACACACCTGTGCAACGAGCATCCAGATCAAGAAATAAGTCATTATCAGCATCCCAAAAGCCTCCATTGTGTCCCCTTCCATTGCTAACAATCCAAGGGTAACCATTATCCTGACTACTAAGTACAATAGTTCACCTCTCTTTAAATTTGCTATAAATGAAATAATAAAGATATATTCTCTTGTGTCTGGCTTCTTTCACTCAACATTATGTTTATAAGACTCATCACATTACGCCATGTAGCTGTAGTTCATTCACTGTTATTGCCATATAGTATTTCATTCTATGAAGAGTCCGCAATTGTCCATTCTACTGTTCTTTGGCATTTGGATAGCTACACAGAGAATATTTAGTTATTTTGAATAGTGCTGCTATAACCATTCTTGAACATGTCTTTTGGTGACCATCTGGATATAGTTCTGTTAGGCATATATTAGAAGTGGAACTCCTAGGTCATAGGGTATGCACGTGTGTATATGGGGAGTGTAAATTGATATAATCACTTTAAAAATTGGTGCTTTCATAGACTTTTAAAAAACAAAATTACCATTTTACAACTAACTGCTATGAAATCTATATAATGATGATATAACATCCACCCATTAAAAACATTCTTTGTAAAGAATACATGCCAAATGAGGCAACTGATCCACTAATGAAGTTCTTTGCCTGCAGAAATAAGCAATTATTTTATTGTGATTGTTCACATTATAGCCCTTATAAGAACCAAAGGTAAAAAATGAAATATTGCACATACCTTTTCTAATTCAATTAGGAAAAAAGTATTTTTTTTTTTTTTTGTCTTTTGTCTTTTTGCCGTGTCCGGCAACGGATCGCAACCCTCAGTGTTGCCCCCGTACCGGACCGGGGACCGGCAATGGGATCGCAAGCCTCGGTGTTGCTCCCACGCCTCGCTCAGCCAGTGAGCGGGAGCCGGACTGGATGAGTGATCCGAACCCTCGGACGGGAGCGCCGCCGCGCTTCCCAAGCGGCGCACTATCCAGTGCGCCACCGGGCCGGCCCAGGAAAAAAGTATTTTTTTTTTTTTTTGTCTTTTGTCTTTTTGCCGTGTCCGGCAACGGATCGCAACCCTCAGTGTTGCCCCCGTACCGGACCGGGGACCGGCAATGGGATCGCAAGCCTCGGTGTTGCTCCCACGCCTCGCTCAGCCAGTGAGCGGGAGCCGGACTGGATGAGTGATCCGAACCCTCGGACGGGAGCGCCGCCGCGCTTCCCAAGCGGCGCACTATCCAGTGCGCCACCGGGCCGGCCCAGGAAAAAAGTATTTTGAAGCACTTAGATATTCAATAAAATTAGATCCTATAACAGTCCTGGGCAGATGTGAGCTGCAAACAATAAGTAACTGACCTGTCAACATATACACCAAAATCATGTTTTTACTACATCAGAGGATGGAATGTTATCAAAGCAGTATAAGTCAAGGGAAACCTGAAACTGTACCAATAAAACAGCACTGAAAATCAAGAAACTTGTAAACATTTGAGCCCCGATAAGAAGTATATAATAAATATGAGGCAGAATTCAAACTGGAGAAGAAACACTGAACTAATTCTTTTTAAAACCACTTTATTGAGTGAGGTATGATTTGACATACAAAAAGCTGTACATACTTAACGTATACAACTTGATGAGTTACTAACCTAATTTTTTATGCTCTACAAAAGTTGAGACAAAAAGACCCACCCAAATGGAAGAAAAATGCCATTATCAAAGTGTTTATATTTAGCTTAATTTCACTTATTTAACTTCCTTTATATATACTATGAGACAGTTCAAGAACATTTAACTGCAATTTGAAAACACAGTAATCACCACTATGTGCCCGGAATCAAGACAAGAACAATTATTATTAAAATTCCTTTGTTTCTGTTGGAGGAGATCTAAACAAGGGTGCTGAAAAGTGATGAAAAAAACAACACAGTGATAAAATGTTAACCTTGAGAGAAAAAAGTCTCTAAACCTAACATGAAAACCACAAATACTAAAAAACAGAGTGATACAAGTAGGTTAAATATTATGAAACCACCATACTTAGTCAGAATACACAAAAAGAACTTTGATGGCTACATAAAAATTATTTTAATTTCTCTTTACCTGTTGTTTCCTAAATTTTCAAGGCAGCCTTCAATGAATCTCATTCGAATCTGTCTATCCGTAAACCAACATACTAAGGAACAAAGAAGTTTCTCTGCTTCACTTATTAATCCTTCAGAAAGATTAACCTACAAAAAAAATATATACACATGAAGTTATTATTTATCCTGATTGCATTTTGCTCTAATGTTATAGTCTTCTGGCTCAATTCATTAACTTACTGCATCATCATCTTGGACTATATCCCACAACAAAGTGTTTCCTTTCTTGCAAACGTTATCCAAATTAATGTCTGTCACAGCATTACTGTTGAATTGATGTTTATGAACTGCAGGTCCTAAAGGGGTAAAACATAGCATACTATAGAGCAATGCAGCTGACTGAAATTGGAAATTACAACATTCATAAAGTTAACAAATCCAAAGAAAAGTATAAGAATAAAACTCTTCTTAGATCGCAAACTAAAAATACAACATTAGAACAATATTTGCCTTGTGAATGAAAAACAATAGCACTGTTTAGAGTTTGATAAGGATAAAGTGAAGTAAGTTTTCTTTCCAGTCTCTACTATTTCTTATTTTTTTTTTATTTTTTATTTTTTTTTTAAAAGATGACTGGTGGGCCGGCCCGGTGGCGCACTGGATAGTGCGCCGCTTGGGAAGCGCGGCAGCGCTCCCGCCCGAGGGGGCGGGTCCCA